CTTTCTAAGAAAGTTTTAGACTCGACTTCGCACGTGCAGCTGATGATGAGCGGTTTGATCTGGTTTGTACCTGATTTCGATTTCTAAATAGAACCTTTAGATCATTCTATGCACATGCGTCAGCTAATTATTAAAGGATAGTTCACATTGGAAAATTTAATTGATAAAAAATTGTATTTTTATTTAACTGAGTCAAGGCCAAAGATCAAAACCGGTGGGTGGATGGGAGAACCAGCATGTAGTACGTTACAGCTAAATTGTCTTTATTCTGCAGCATCACCATTATCTTCAAATCTTCAATTCGGGTCACAGATATTTCGAAGGTTTTTCATTTTCCAAAGATGTTACATTTTTCGCATGTTCAAGCCTGCTCTATACACATTTTGGGTTCCAAGCCGCAGAGAACTGCGTTTTCCTTTTTCGGGTCTTTCAGTGGAACTCCTCTTGTTAGAACTCCCAAAGGAAATGAGAAACTTTTCGAGTCAGCAGGTTTCTCGTTATCTGTTGGCCTGTTCCGATTGTGCCTAGCAACTTTAGAGCTGCTTTGACGTTTATAGTAGCTTTTTGCTGTTGGAGAAATTTTTGCCTCTCTTAGCTCTTCGCAATTTTTCAACAACTATAGATTTAGAGCACATATCAAGTACGGAAGAGTCAACGATATCATAGAAAACTTCACTTCATGCGAATATCTTGACCTCTAACCTTTTTAACACTCAGCCTGTCACTTGACAGCGTTTCGCTGGCCGATTGCGATTTGTAGTCCGTACCCGCGGGATGTGGAAATTGAACCTTGCCTGGGTGGGGTGGGAAGTAAGAACCGGAACAGTCAAGTCTTCGCAGCGGAATACAAGTATGTTATCTTTGAATAAGGAGGTGTTTAAAGTTAAATAATTCACTTTCATGAGAAGATGACTCAGAAGTGAAGGTCTACAAGAAAGTCATGGTCGTTAATCTTGCCTTCACAAAAAAATGACCATAAAATCCAGCACTTAGGTAGGACTTTAGAATGCAGTTTTGGCCCGGGAGTGAGGCGGAAATTTAAACGAGCCAAACTTCAAAAGATACAAATGCCTAGGAGATTGCCCCGGGGAGATATTGGAGTTTCGATTTGATCGACGCATTGGTTCGAGTTAGCAGGCATTTCAAGTGATCTGGTGTGAGTTAGAGAGAGATAACTTTATTCATACATGGTAAAATGCTTCAGCACATTAAGAGTACAAAAGATCTAATTCTGCCCAGCTAAACTAATCGTTAACACAGTATTATAAGAGTAAAAACCTATTTTATCATTAAAGCTGCTTTTCTATGTTCATGGGAAAGGCTGTTCCACAACATAGCACCCCATAGGAAAAGCCCCTCCTCAATTAGTTGGTTCGGAGTTGTGTAAAGGCCAATTTATCCTCAGAAATCCTCAGTCGCTACGAAGTAATATCATTTCGGGTTATAAATCAGGATACACTTAGCGGGGCTATACCGGTACTACAGTCAAACCTGTATCAAGCAGTGAACCACGGGGAATGGAAGTTAACCGTTTAATACAGGTTCCACAAATGAGGGAGTACT